ACGTCACACCTAAACCGAGTCGGTCTAAGTTTTGCCTTCTGGCCAGTTTCCTGGGATAAAATGCCTAACTCTGGGGACTAATCCAGAGTAATAATTAAAATCTTTATCCACATCCCTAACGACTTATATGTAATCTGTGCAGTTTTGTCTTAGCTATCTAAGATGCTATTTTATATTTTTATGACTTAAATAGTTTTTAAGATATTTTAACTAGAAGGGGGTGGGGACCACTATAAATGAAGGCGAAAACTCCTTTAATGACTAAATATTAAAATATCCTCCAACGATGGAAACTTGTAAATATGCTAAGGTATAGTGAATAAAATCCCCGTCTTAACTAGATGTAATGTATAACTTAATACGCTAGGGTTCCTGAAAAATAAATTATTGAATTTCTAACCAATGCGCACATCGTGGTATTTTATTATTTCCTCCCTATGCGCCGGCCGTATAGTGACCGTCCGGGGGGAGGGGGGGGAAGGTGAAAAGGGATACCCGTTACGCACCGCGCCAGTGCTACTACACACCGCGCGGCCTTGAGTTGGGCGCCAGACATGGTTTACGTAACGGGTCAAATAGTGGGTTGGGGCATACACTGCCACATACAAATATGTTTTTTTTAAATTACTGAATAGTAATGAGTTTAAAAAAAAAGTTTTTGGGATAAACTACTTAAAAAATAAATGAATTTACAAATACTTTAAAAAAAAACATTTAAAATAAAATTCCTTACAAAAAAAGGTATTCATTGCAAAAAAGAATTGCTAAAATAATTTTACAAGTTAAACTAAAATGAAAACCAAAACCATACGCTCACTTCTAGATATTTACAAGTTTTACCAAGTCAAAAATAAAAAGAAAACAAAACTCTTTTGTAAAAGGACTATACATTGTTATGACTTTTCAAAATTGGTACTTTTTGTAAATCGTATATAACCAGCATAATTATGTTAAGAAGACATCTGTTGTTTACAAAAGACATAATATATTTATTAGTGTGTGATTTTATTTGAAGGAAATCTTAAAAAAATGTAAAGTTTAAATTCCCAATATTCATTTTATTATTCTTATATTAAAGAGAGAAAGGTCGTTGGAGATTTAAAAAAAATAAAGGCTAAGTATTTTATTTAATTTTAAAACATCATTTTACTCCATTGTTCCCCAAACTGTGTTCCAAAATTAGAAAAATTGATGACCCATCCACTATTTGTATGCAAACGTTAAATTCCCAATTTTTGTTTTAAAATATCATTTTTTAAATATTTTTTATTTGACCTAACTCAACATACAAATGCGAACAACAAAAAGTAAGTTTAGCTTATGATCAGGAGCGGCCTATTTTCAAAACAATAAGATCTTTATAATAGCATTCTGTAAGCCTGTGACAAGATTAACCTGAGCGATTTAGATCATCAATCTGTATCGAGCAAAGCGATATTTTATTGGTTAATTTAATTGTGATCGTGAAAGATACACATTTCTATTTATTTTAGAATTTTTTAAATTAAAAAAATTGTATTTTCTTACACCCCCCCCAGGAGGACACTTGACTTGCTCTGTGGGCATGGGCGCCCGCAGGTAGGGGCAAGGTGGGGCACTTGCCCCCCCCCCCCGGATTGGTTGGATAAAATTTTTTTTGGACAAAAATAGACAAAAAATTTATTAAAGTAAAGAGAAAATAAAGAGAAAGTAACTAAGCTGATGTCCTGTCCGTTCATTCACTATAAAAATACGCTACAGTAAATTAAAACTACATTAAAACATTACTAAAAATTTTTTGCCCCCCCCCTGGAAAGTTAATCGATTTTTTTGCCCCCCCCCTAG